CTAGTATAGCTTCTGGAGTAAACAGTGTAGTGATTCCTAAAAGATCTAAAAATCAAACTTCCATATGATCCCACAATCCTCCTACTGGGAATATACCTTGAGGAACTCAAATCACTCTAAAAAAGATACATGCATACATATGTTTATTGCAGCATTATTTACAGTTGCAAAAAAATGAAACCAACCATACTGCCCATTGAAAGAGGACTGGATTAAAAAAATGTGGTACATATGCACGATGGAATATTACACAGTTATAAAGAAGGACAAAATTATGAACTTCACAGCAACTTGTATAAACTTAGAAGCTATAATATTGAGTGAGTTATCACAGAAACAAAGACCCGAGTATCACATGTTCTCACTCATAAGCAGACCTTGAACAGCTATGGTAATACTATAAGAAAGGGATGGGCAGTAGTGGGAAACTGCTTGGGGAGGGGGCAGCACACCTCACCAATAAGGGTACCTGCCTAATGAACATTTGTATACCTAACCCTGAATTATGCCCCAAATATTTAAAATAAAAAATTTAAGAAAAAAAAAGATTTTCTACTAATTGAAAAAAAAATCTGTCAGTTTTTCTCCAACTCTTCCCAAAAAATGAGCAGAAGAAAACATGTCAAAACCCATTTTATGAGGTCAGCATTACTCTCACACAAAAACCAGATAACAATGTGATAAAAAAAGAAAATTATAGGTCAATATCCCCAGTGAACACAGAAAAATCTTCAACAAAATCCTAGCAAACCAAATCCAACAGCATATTAAAAGGATCCTGGAATGAAAGAAGAGTTTAACATACACAAATTAATATACATGATACTCCACATTACCAAAGTGAAGAACACAAATCATATGATCATCTCAATCGATGTATAAAAAACATGTGAAGATTTAACATCCTTTCATAATAAAAACTCAACAAATTAAGTATAGAAGAAATGCACTTCAAAATAATAAAAGTGATACATGACAAGCCCACAGCTCATATCATATCCAATTGTGAAAAGTTTAAAGCTTTTCCTCTGAGATGAGAACTAGCATATGGGTGTCCATTGTCACCACTCCTGTTAAATACAGTACTGGAAATTCCAGACACAGCAATTAAGAAAGAAAAAAAAAGGCATCCAAATCAGAAAGAAAAAAGTTAAATTGTCTCATGATCTCAAATAGTCAAAGCAATCTTCAGAAAAAAGAAAGTAGTTAAAGGCATAGCACTTCATACTTCAAACTATGTTACAAAGCTGTAGCAATCAAAACAGTATGATACTGGCATAAAAACAGACACATAGATCAATGGGACAGAATAGAGAACCCAGAAATAAGTTCATGCATATAAAGTCAACTAATCTCTGATGAGGATGCCAAAAACACACAATAGAGAAAGGATCGTCTCTTCAATAAACAGAGTGGGGAAAACCAGTTATCCACAGGCAAAAAATATAAATTTTTTTTTTAAATGTGAAACTTGAAAAAATGACACTTATCTCGTACCATATACAAAATTTAACTTGAAATAAATTATAGACAGAAATATAAGACCTGAAACCAGAAAACTCCCAGAAGAAAACACTGGAAAAGTACTCCTTGACATTGACCTTGGCAATGATTTTTTTTGGATATGACAACAAAAGCATAGGCAATAAAAGTAAAAATAATCAAGTGAGACTACATGAAACCAAGTTTCTATACAGCAAAGAAACAGCTAAATATTTTCTTCCATTCTATATACGTGAAAAGGCATATAGAATGGAAGAAAATATTTGCAAACTCATGTGTAATTGTTTGAATGTATCCTCCAAAGTTTATGTGTTGGAACTTGATTCCCAGTGCAGAAATGTTGAAACTTTTAAGAGGGACCATTGAGCAAGCTCCTTGGGTCCTCCCCCACTGTAGGAGCTTTTCTATCCTCTCAATAAATCCTGCTTTCAAAAAAAAAAAGGAGAGAGACCATTAATAGTTTAAGGTTGCTATTGTGGGAGTGAGTTCCTTTGAAAAGCGTAGTTCAGCTCTATTCTCTCTCTCTCTCTTTCTCTCTGCCCTTCTGCCATGTTATGTCTTCCACAATGTTATGATGCAGTAAGAAAGCCCTCAGCAAATGCTGGCACAATGATCTTGGACTTCTTAGCCTCCAGAATTATGTCAATAAATTTCTGTTTCTTATATATTACCCAGTCTGTGTTATTTTGTTATAGTATCACAAAACAGACTAAGAAACTACATATGCATATATGATAAAGGGTTAATATACAAAATATATAAGAAACTCATACATCTGAATAGCTAATAATAATAATAATCAAATTGAAAAATGGGCAAAGGACCTGAATAGACATTTGCCCAAAGAAGGTATACAAATGGCCAAAAACTATATTAAAGAAGGTTCAGCATTACCAATCATTAGGAAAACGCAAATCAAAACCACAGTGAGATATCACTTCATGCCTAACAGGATAGTAATTATCAAAAAAATGAAGAATAAAAAGTGTTGGTAAGGTTGTGGAGTAAAGGGAATCCTTTCCACTACTAGTGGTAATATAAATTGGTACAGCCTTGCAAAACCATATGGAGGTTTCTAAAGATATTAAAATTAGAACTACAATATGATCCAACAACCTCACTTTTCAGTATTTTTTTTTTTTTGGATAAAGAAAATAAAATCAGTATCTTGAAGAGATATCTGTAGTCCCATGTTTATCACAATAGCCAAAATATGGAAACAACCTAAGTGCCTATGGATGGATAAATGGATAAAGGTTCCGTGGCTCAGCCTGTAATCCCGTGCCTTTGGGAGGCTGAGGTGAGTGGATTGCCTGAGCCTGCGGGTTTGAGACCCGCCTGGGCAGCGAGACCTCATCTCCACAATAAAATAAAAAAATCAGCCGGGCGAGGTAGCGCATGCCTGTAATTCCGGCTACTTGGAAGGCTGAGGCAGAAGGATCACCGGAGCTCAGCAGGTCGAGGCTGCAGTGGCCGGAAGCGGCCACTGTACTCTAGCCTGGGCGACAGAGTGAGACTCTAACTCAAAAAAAAAAAAAAAAAAAAGAAAAGAAAATGTGTGTGTGTGTGTGTGTACAATGGAATATTATTCTGCCAAAAACAATAAGGAAATTCTGCCTTTGCAGCAACACAGATGGACCTGGAAGACATTATGGTAACTGAAATAAACCAGGCACAGAAAGGTAAATATTGTATGATCTCACTTACATGTGACCTTTAAAAAAGTTGACCTCTCAGAAGCAGGGATTAGGATGGTGGTTGTCAGGGGCTGTGTGGCAGAGAAAATGGGGAGATACTGGTCAAGGTATACAAACTTTTAGTTATAAGATGAATAAGTCCTGAGGATCTAACATTCAGCATTGTAAATATAGTTAATAATACTATATTGTATTCCTAAAATTTACTAAGAAATTAAATCTTAAGTGTTTTCACCACACACAAAATATGATAATTATGTGAGGTAATGATGAGTCAATTAACTTGATTGTGGTAATTATTTTATAATGTATACACATATTAAATTGTCATGCTATGCACCTTAGATAATATAATTTAACTTAGAAAATTTATCTCAACAAATCTTAAAAAAAAGGTAATTTGAAAGCATGAAAACATTCAGAAAGTGAAGCTGTGAGATAGAAGAAACAGTTTGAAATATCATAGCTAAGACTAAATGTTCATTGATAGAATTAGAAGTGCAATAGTCTAATCCCAGATGATCTTATTAAGAGATCATCTATGAAAGGAGTTGGGGAAGTGAAAAGGAGAGAAATGGAACTACATGAGGTTTCTGTCTTTGGGGAAAACATTACATATTTATTCTATTTAGACTTTACTAGAAAAGCATAAATGTAAAAGTATGTTTTAAGATGTAAGAATAACCATTATTAGAGGAGAAAAAATGTATGACTGCCAATCAAGAAGGAAGAAATAAAATAACAAATTCAATCAATCCCTCCACAAAACTATAGCAAAGGAAAACAAACAACAAGAAAAACAAAAAACAGGACAAACAGAAAACAAAATAATTGTCAGGGACAAGTACATATAATTAACCAATATAAATATGATTACTAAATACTCATATTAAAACAAACAGTACCACACAAAAAATAGTATATTTGGTGAAAAGCTTGAAATATGATATCAGAGTTAATTCACACTTATAATATATATGCTTTACCAAGGACAATCTAAAAATATAATGTTGAAATATATGATGGGAGAGAAAGATTGAGATTCAAAACAACATATGGTAAACGCACAGTACTGTGGGATGTATACCCCCATTAGCAATCAGGAAATGAAGTTACCTCAAAAGTTGGTAATCATCAAAAGGTGAAGGTTTTCTTGTTTGTCATACTCTTTTTTGCTTATCTTCTTTCTTCCTTCCATTTTTTTTTTCCAAATTTCTTCCAAACAATTTTTAAAGGAAAGAAGATACAAATGAAGTGAACGTGGCTAGCAGAGTACTGCAAGGGAGAAGCGATGAGAAGAGACTGGGCTTGGTTACAGAGTGGAAGGAGGGTGAAAAGGCCGTGGTAGTTGGGTTTGCTTTTTATACATTTCAAAATAAAAACCAGATCACAGTATTAAAACGAAAGCTTGTGTGAAGGCAGACATTTTCCTCGGCTCCCCAGGACTGAAAGGACGAGTCCTCCCCACCCCCCCATCTCCGAAGGCAGCCGTGGGGACACCGGGGCCGAATCAATCCTCCGCCCCCCGCAGGGAGCGGGCGGGCGGGCAAGCAGCGGAGTCAGTCTCTCCATCCGCAGGGAAGAGGAGCCGCGAGGTGGGCGAGGGCAGCGACAGAAGCCAGCTGCACGGAGAATGGAATGGGGGCCGGGAGGGGCCGGGAGGAACGAGAAACGAGCCTGAGGCTTCCGTCACGGCGGCCGCCTCGTCCGCCGCAACGATGGGTGCCAGAGTGAGTGTGGGGCGGGGGCCGGGCGGGGACCCACAGGGCGGGACGAGGGGAGCCGCCGCCACCGCCGCCCTCACCTGACCTTCTCGCTGTCCGTCATCTGCCAGAGGCCCAGGTTGAGCACCTTGAGGCAGGGCAGCTGCGTGATGCGCTCCAGGCCTCACTTGGTGATGCGGGTGCAGCCGTACAGGTCTATGCCCGGGAGCTGGCTCAGGTGCTCGGCGATCAGCTCCAGGCCCTTGTCCGTGATGCGCACACACTGTCCGATGTTGAGCATGCGCAGCCCGTGCATCTGCCGCACCATGAAGTTGATGCCTTCGTCGCTGATGTGGCAGGAGCACAGGGACAGCGACTTGAGGCCGTCCAGCCCCTGGGCTATGTACGCCAGGCTCTGGTCCCCCACCTTGTCACAGAAGGACACGTCCAGCCCCGAGAGGCGCAGGCTGCCCATGGCCAGGTGCATGATGCCCGTGTCGCTGATGTCGCAGGAGCGCAGGTTGAGGCTACGCAGGCTGCCCATGTGCGACGGGTGCAGGAGGCCGGCGTCCGAGATGCCGCCGCAGAAGCTGAGGTTCAGCAGCCGCAGGCCCGCCAGCCCCCGGGAGATGTGCTTCAGGGAGAGGTCCGTGAGCTTCTGGCAGTCCTGCAGCGTGAGCTGCTCCAGGCCCAGGCAGCCCTCGGCCGCGCTGCGCGTCATGCCGGCCAGGTGCCTGATGCCCACGTCCGAGAGGTGGCGGCAGCTG